AGGAGGTCCCGACCGGTGACCGTGGGCGGTGAGTGAGGGGCAGAGGTGGGGGGCCGTGGCCCTCCCCGGTCCTGACTTTGGGGAGGTGGATCCTTGGCGAGGTCGGCGCAGGCAGGGTTTGGAGTGAGGGGCAGGAGGCTCAGGGGCTGCAGGGCGAGAAGAGCGTTCTGGTTGAGTGTGTACGTGTGTGTGTGCGCTGGGTTGAGGGTGTTGGAGGGCGAGGTGTGCAAAGGAGGATTCAGGTGAGCCAGGAGGTGTTTGGAGAGTTGTGTGGGTGGACTGGGGAGTGGGTGGACTGGGGAGCGCTGCGTGGACCCGGGGAGGGTGTGGGGCAGGTGTGCAAGGAAGGCGATGGGAACAGGGACGGGGTCGGGTGTCTGTGTGGGAAGCCTGTGGCAGTGTGTGTTGTGTGTGTGGTTCTGATGCTGTGGGGATTGGGAGTGTGCAGAATCCCCTGGGATGAAACGGGTGAGAAGGTTGCAGGCCTGAGAGGGTGTCTTCTGGAAGCTGATGTTGGGAGCTGGGGTCGTCGTGCAAGGGGTCCTTAGGGAGAGCAATGTGTGGAGGTGGGGGTTGGGCTTACCTGGATGGAACTGTGTGGTGGGCGACTTGGGGAGCAGGGCTAGGAGGCAGAGGAGGGGGAGTGTGGACCAGAGTGAAGTTCCAGGCAGCATTGGGGTGGGGGATGGGCCTGGATGGGTGGCTGGGGGTGTGAACCTGGGATGGGGGTGTGTTTGTAGGGCCGTGTGTGAGGCCTGGTTTGGAATAAGTGTGCAACAGGTTATGTGACGTTTGCTTGAGAGAATAGCTCAGGACTGAACGCCCAGCCCCAGAGTTTTCTTTGTAACTTGCGTTCAATCTTTTATACTCTGGGCCTCAGTTTTCCTATCTGTAAAATGGGTCTGAGGATCACTGAACTCTAGTTCTGTCGTCTCTGCCTGAGTCTCTCCAAAGTAGGGGTCAGGGATGGGTGAAGTAAGACTTTTGTCTTTTTTCAGTTTGTCTTTTTTCTTCTCTCTACCTCTAGGAAACCCCTCCTGGAATCCCCTCCCCCTCCACCCCAGCCATGGACAGCCCTAGCCTTCGTGAGCTTCAGCAGCCTTTGCTGGCGGGTACAGGCTGTGAGCCCCCTGCCCAGAAGCCTGACAAACCTGAGCTGGGGCCACCCTTAAGAGAGACTGCCTTTGCAGAGTCCCTGAGGGGTTTGCAGTTCCTACCACCAACTCTTCCCTCTGTGAGCGCTGGCCTGGGGGAGCCAGGGCCCCCTGATGTTGAGGTAGGAATAGAAGGCCTTAGTGGAAGCCATGGGAGGGGGCTAGGGTGAACCCAGCTATGGTAAGCATTTGGCAGGTTGACAGCTGGGGGTATCTGCCACAGACGTGGAGTCTCACTTCCCAGCTGTGTGTGAGCTTCTGGGTTTCCAGGGATGGTTCTTCCTGTTTTATGTCTCCCCTGGTTCTTTTTTTTTTTTTTTGAGTCGGGGTCTCACTCTGTCACCCAGGCTGGAGTGCAGTGGCTCGCTCACGGCCACCACAGCCTTGACCCATTGGGCTCAGGCAATCCTTCTGCCTCAGTCTTCCAAGTAACTGGAACTACATGCACGTGCTACCATGCCCGGCTAACTTTTTAATTTGCTGTAGAGACAAGGTCTTACAAAGTTGCCCAGGCCGGTCCTGAATTCCTGGACTCAGGCAATCCTCTCACCTCAGACTCCCAAAGTGCTGGGATTACAGGCTTGAGCCATTGCACCTGGCCTATGGTTCTTTTCTTTTTTCTTTTTTGTAGAAAACCCTATTTTGTCCAGGCTGGTCTCAAACTCCTAGACTCAAGCAGTCCTTCTGCTGCGGCCTTTCAAAGCACTGGGATTACACGTGTGAGCCACCATGCCTGGCCTCCTGGTTCCGTTACCTTTTTCTCTCTAGATGTGAGTCGCATCTTTGTACCTTTACAGGCGTGAGCCACCATGCCTGGCGTCTTTTATTTCTTTAACATTGTTTTGGCCAGGCGCAGTGTCTATCACCTATAATCCCAGCACTTTGGGAGGCTGAGGTGAGAGAATTGCCGAGCCCACGGGTTTGAGACCAGCCTGGGCAACTTGGTGAGACCTCGTCTCTACAATACATTAAAAAAAAAAAAATTAGGTGGGCGTGGTGGTACACTCCTGTAGTTCCACCTGCTTGGAAGGCTGAGGTGGAAGGATCATCTGAGCCCACCAGGTCAAGGCTGCGGTGGCCGCAAGTGTTGCCACTCACCTCCAACCTGGGCGACAGAGTGAGATTCCAACTAAAAAAAAAACAAAAATAACCCCAAACACCCCAAAAACCCCACATTGTTTCGCAGTTACAACTATTGTATAAGAAACCACCCCCAAACTTAAACAACAACAAACTTACACAACAACGATTAATCCTCATGGTTTCTGTTGGTCAGGAATTTTGGAAAGACAGTTGAGCAGCTGCAGTCAGCCAGTGGCTGGAGCTGCAAAAGTCAGGGGCTGGCTGGGTGTTTCTCTCTCTTCCTGTAGTCTGAGGGCTTCTGTATGTGGCTTCTGTATGGGCTGTTTTGGGATTCCTTTTTTTTTTTTTTTTGAGTTGGAGTCCCACTTTTGTTGCCCAAGTTGGAGTGCAGTGGCATGTTCCCGGCCACCGCAACCTTGACCTGCTGGGCTCAAGTGATCCTTCCACCTTAGTGTAGTTCCACCTTCCAAGTAGCTGGAACTACAGGTGTGAACTACCACGCCTGGCTAATTTTTTGATTTACTGTAGAGATTAGATCTCTCCAAGTTGCTCAGGCTGATCTCGAACCCGTGGGCTCAGGCAATCCCTTCACCTTGGCCTCCTGAAGTGCTGGGATTACAGGTTTGAGCCACCGTGCCCAGTCTGAAAAGTTATTTTTAGGAAGAATTATTTTAAAACCTAGAATGAAGATCCTTTCCTCCAGAGAGAATTTGGTTTGCTTCTGTCAGCTGCCGGGGGACACTACCAGTTACAGATCATTTGTAATCTAGTTCAAGGTTTGAATGAAGGTTAAATTTTCTGGAATTGGCAAAATCCTGGAGCACAAGAAGGGTCTTCTGTGTTCACTTGACTTCTCTGTTAACCTTGATTTTTCACTTCTATTTATTATTTAGAGATGGGGTCTCACTCTGTTGCCCAGGCTGGAGTGCAGTGGTACAATTATAGCTCACTGCAGCCTCAAACTCCCAGGCTCAATTTATCCTCCTGAGTAGCTGGGATTACAGGTGCATGCCACCATGCCTGACTAATTTTTGATTTTTTGTAGAGATGAGGTTTCGCTATGTGGTCTATGCTGGTCTCAAACTTCTGGCATCAAAGGATCCTCTCACCTCAGCCTCTGCACCTGGCTGATTTCCACTTGTTTTTTGAGTATGTCGTTCTGTCACCCAGGCTGGAATGCAGTGGCACAATCATGGCTCATCACAGCCTGGACCTCCTGGGTTCAAGCAATCCTACCTCAGTCTCCCTAGCAGGACTATAGCATGCACCACCCCACTCGGCTAATTATTTTTGTGGAGACGAGGTCTCACTATGTTGCCTAGCTGGTCTTGAACTCTTGGGCTCAAGTAATCCTCTTGTCTTGGCCTCTTGAAGTGCTGGTATTGCAGGCATGAGCCACCACACCTGGCCCACTAGTTTTTTGTTTTTTTTTTTACAATAATTCCTTAAAATATTGTGAGCTACTAGCTGCGTGTAAGATTTTTAAATAAAAAATTTTAACCTAGTCTATAGCTTTTAGCAGGTAAGTTTGTCCTAATAATTTAGGCCACTGGAGAATTTTATAATCTCCATCATTTCACAGGCTCCTGTTCCTGATGGTATGTCTGCATTACAGTGGCATTTACTCAGAGATTATAAGCCACTGCAGTGTCCATGATTAGACCTGTGAATTCTTGAACGTGAACTAAAAACCTTGTGTGGGTGGGGCTCTCCTCAGGGAATAGGGTCCACAGCTTTCCCTCAAAGGGCTCACTCTCAGATGCAGAGAAGTCAAAAGCCCATCTCTTTGAACATTTCTGTGTGTCTGGAGGGGAGGCATTGCTCTTTGGGAACTATGGGGAACAGAGCAGTGAGGTGGGGAAGGTGGTGGAGGTGCCCACCCGGACCCTCTCCTGCCCATAGGACATGTCATCCAGTGACAGCGACTCAGACTGGGATGGGAGCAGCCACCACTCACCGCTCCTACCCCATGACCACCTCGGCCTGGCCGTCTTCTCCATGCTGTGTTGCTTCTGGCCTGTGGGCATTGCTGCCTTCTGTCTGGCCCAGAAGGTCAGTCTGTGTGTGGGACTGGAAGGCGACTGGGTATAAGAAAGAAAAATGCACCAAAAAAAGAAAAACAAAAGAGGAGACATACCCGAGGAGGAAGGGGCCGAGGCGGGGGCGGTGTGGAGTAGTAGTTAAGAACCTGAACTAAAATCCTGAGTGTGCCACTATCTGCAGGATTTTGGGCAAGTTACTTAGCTTTCCTGTGATTTATTTTCCTCCTCTGTGAAATGGAAATGATTGCTCTCTCTGGGTCATTAATAATCAAATGAGTTGGAACAGTGGCATATAATAGTATATGTATGTTTTTATTAGTCACCTAGCACCCCCAATGCCTGACCCATAGTGGGTGCTCCATCTCTCTTACAGAATATATGAATGAATGAATGAATGGGTAGGTCGGGAGGGGGAGGGGCCAGGGGAAGGGTCTGGGGCTGTGGGAAGCAGGGTGGGGACGAGGGGATGCCTGGGTCACTGCTGCCCACTGCCTCTACAGACCAACAAGGCTTGGGCCAAGGGGGACGTCCAGGGGGCAGGGGCTGCCTCCCGCCGCGCCTTCCTGCTGGGGGTCCTCGCCGTCGGGCTGGGTGTGTGCACGTATGCGGCTGCCCTGGTGACCCTGGCCGCCTACCTGGCCTCCCGAGACCCGCCCTAGTTGCCCCTACAGCCCTCACTGTGAATCCTGAGGCCGGCCACACCTGCGGGCAGAGTGGAGGATCCTGATGGATGAGGCAGCAGTGGTGTCCAGAAACGGGAGAGAGCTGGACAACCCCTTCCCTTCCTGACCCCTGCTCACCTGGCAGTAGCAACGTGAGAGATTAAATACCAGACACCCTTGCAGCCAAACCAGAGTCTGTTGTATGTGTGGGAAGGGGGCAGGGGTTGGGGGTGGCTTGGACCAGGAGGGGACCGGCCAGGGTGACAGGCTGTGGTGGACATCCCCACAGTGCTTCCTGGGACCTGAGCTGGAGAAGGGGAGGAGGGTTTCCAAACTGCAGAATGTTTTCTTCCCAATGCTGGTGATTAGCAGAGAGCTAGAGAGCGTGTTCCAAGTCCTTACTCCTCTACCTATAAGCTCAGCCCAAGTGACTTCTCTCTGAGCCTCACTTTTTCTCGTTGCAAAATGGGATTTTCTTCACCCATGGGCTGTGGTATTAAATGCATCATACATGTCAAGGGCTGTCTGCTGTCTCCCTCTGAGCTCTTCTGACAGCAAGTGGCAGAAACCCAACCCAGACTGTCTTAAGCAACATGAAAACTGAGGTAGAACTGAGCACGATCATGGCCACCACAGCCTTGACCTGCTGGGCTCAGGCAAGCCTTCCACCTCAGCCTTTCAAGTAGCTGGAACCACAGGTGTGCACCACCATGCTCGGCAGATTTTTTTGATTTATTGTAGAGATGGTGTTGCCAAGTTACCCAGGTTGGTCTTGAACCCTGGGCTCAGGCAATCCTCTTGCACCTGGCCTAAATTATTTTTTTTTCCAGTTGGGGCCTTTGATAGAATCTCTCCATCTCTCAGTCCTCTTTTCCTCTGTTGGCTTCATTCTGTGCCAGCTCCCCCTCCCAGCGGCTCAGGTACCCCAGAAAGCATGTCTTCTTTCCCAGGCAGACTCTCCTTGGCCCTCCCTGGGGTGGGAGGCAGTCCCATCCAAATCAGATGGCCTGAGCCTGGGAGACGGTCGGCTCCTTTAGGAAACATTAAAGCCTTGGCACCTGGGCAGAGGCACATAGAAAGTGCCCACTGAAAGGACCCGATATTATCAAGCAACAGTGATATGCAGTTGAGTTTCCTCACTGTTGAATGCCATCCATCCTCTTGCCAGGAAGACAACACTCACTCTTTCCCATTAAGCATTCCCCTGAGCATCTAATGAGCATAATTTCATGCTATTATGCATTTCCTTCTTCGTTACTGGAGATGAAGACGATGCCCTTGCCCGCCTGCCCGTGGGGCGGCTGTGGGAATTGTGTGAGCGAGTTCAGGCACGTGCGGCATGCAGCAGAGTGCCCGACACATGGAAACCCCAGACGGCCGCGCCTGCTGCCCTGGGACAGTTATTCTTGGCAGGAAGCTCACTGGTCCTAAATACCCTTGGGGGCGGGGAACAGACAAATGGCAACTGAACATGCATCCCCCTGTATTTCCAAATGCCCCTAGGGGGAGCTATCACCCCTGACGGAGCACCAACAAGCGAGCCCCAACTGCCTGTCTACCAGTGGGGAAGCCCAGCTAGTGTGTCCCTGGGCTGTGTCTGCACAGCAAGGCTGCAAGGCTGGACCTCTCATGGGGACCCTTGTTCCACTGCCAACTAGCTGGTGGCCTCAGGTGGCAAACTGCTGAGCTCGTCTCATCTTCAAACGGGGACTGTAATAACAGCCCCACCTCATAGGATTGCAGGGCAGGAAAGGAGCACTCAGCACCAGACTCTGCCCTGTGGCCCATAAGGCCTGTCTCCTCCCCTTTCAGCCCTTGCTCACTGGGCTCCAGCCACACTGGCTGTCCCGGTGGTCCCCGACCCCTGGGGGTTCTTCCCCCATGTGATCTAGGAGCCTGCCTCCTTTCCACCGGCTCCCCCTCGGCAGGCATCCCTGACTGAGGTGTCGAATCTGCCCTCCCCAAGCGAATTCTCCCAAACTCTTGTCACACGCTTTTTTCTTTCTTTTTTGTTTTATTGAGTTGGAGTTTCACTGTCACCTAGGCTGGAATGCAGCAGCATGATCACAGCTCCCCACAGCCTCGACCTCCTGGGCTCAGGAGATCCTTCCACATCAGCCGCTTGAGTAGCTGCGACTACAGGTTTCTGCCACCATGCCTAACTTTTTTTTTGTTGTTGATATTTTGTAGCGACAAGGTTTTACTATGTTTCCCAGGCTGGTCTCAGACCCCTGGGCTCAAGCAATCCTCCTGGCTTGGCCTCCCAAAGTGCTGGGATTACAGTGTGAGCCACTGCGCCTGGCCCATTTTTATTTTTTCATAGTATTTCTACCATCTGACAAATACCAATTTACCCTACCCCTCCTTGAACATGGGATCTGGGTCTCTGTTGTTCAAGGTGTTACTTAGTACCCGGCAGGGCCAGCACAAATAGGCGCTCAACAGACAATGAATCTATTGACTCATCCATTCAATAAATGTGAACTCCTTTTAATGTTATCCCTGGTGGGAGAAAATCTCTGCTCCCAGGCCCAGGGGCTGTGAGGGGCTGAGGCTCTGTCCTCCCCTGCAGCTGCAGGACAGCGAGCACACAAGGACAGAGCTGCAGGGCTGGGCCACTGGCTTGCCTTAGGCTGGAGGTAGTGGTAGTAGCAGGAGGGTACCTGCCCCAATGGGCCTCAGCTCTTGGAGTAACGCCTCTGCAGTGATTCCCGGTAGAAGCGGAAGACGTGATGTGAGGCAGCCTGGGCCGCAGCCAGGCACTGCTGGAGCTGGGGAGGGGAGACCGGTCAGTGCTGGGGGCCGAGCACTGCACCTACATGGTCTGGCTGACCTGAGAGGTGCCACCGACCTCACCTCCCCCTTTGCCTCACATCACTTGGCTTCCCACCCCCCACTCCCCCCACCCCCGTGAGGCAGGTGAGGAGGGATTATTTCAAATGCATCTTCTTTTCCACTTCATGAGTACTTTCTTAGAGGGGACAGAAAAAAGAGTGGGCCAGAACCTCAGAATCCAATTCAGTTTTGGTAGCAACAGCACCAACAGGATCAGGCATCCAGACACTGTAGAAGAGACCCCCAACCATGCAGAGCTATGGAATTGGAGAGCACACAGACTTGGAGTAGTCTTGGAGTTTTACAGCCAAGGGCCTTTGACCTTTAATGTTTTTTTGTTTTTGAGTCGGGTCTCATTCTGTCACTCAGGCTGGAGTGCAGTGGCACAATTGAGCCTCACTGCAGCCTCAACCTTATGGGCTCAGGCCATCCTTTCATCTCAGCCTCCTGGGTAGCTGAGACTACACGCACACACCACCATACCTGGCTGATGTTTTGTAGGGACAAAACCTTGCTATGTTGTCTAGGTTGGTCCCGAACTTCAGGGCTCAAGTGATCCCATCTCGGCTTCCCAAAGTGCTGGATTACAGGTGTGAGTCACCATGCCCAGCCACCATGGGCCTTTGACCTCAATCTTAAGGGCCATAGAATCAGAGACCCCAAATCTGTACTGCCACATGTTCCTAGATTCATGAGGGTTGGCGATGCTCTTGGAGACCATCTGGCCCAATAATTTCTAAACTCTGTCCCTTAGCCCAAGACACCCAGAATTCCGCGTGGTTCACCCCTCTGAGATGGAGGCTGGGGGGTTCTTCAGATGCCCTCATCTCCTGGTTTTAAACTGGGCTCCTCCTCTTTTTGCCTAGCTCACAAGTTGGGCTTCCCTTTACAATTTCCACAAATGTTTCTGTGGTTACGAAGTTTGAGAACTCTTTCTTTTGCAAGGAAGAGGCTCTCAACCTCTCAGACTCCAGGGCAGAGTTGAGACAAGACCTCGTGTCAGGGTGGGTGGGAGGGTCACCCTAGACACCTCAGGGTCTAGCTTTTAACCTCACTCCCAAACCAGTACCTCAGCATCAGAGTAGAGCCCTTTGGTGCTGGACATCAGCAGCTTCCGATCCACGCTGTCAAGTGCAAAGGTCAGGACTGCCCGGGCCTCCTAGGGACAAGGGGTAGAGGGTGGTGGGAGACCTAGCACCCTGACCTCAGATAAAAACTCAGTCCCAAGGAGGGGACTCCAGACCCTCGGCCCCAGGGCCTCGCCCTTTCCACAGCTGGGTGCTCACCTATCAAGCGCTGTCATTTTCTGTCTCCATTCTACCCCTTCTCTGGCTCACAGCTCTCTACCCTCTCTTTGTAGAATTGCTACCCATGGCCCTTATTCTAGCCACCTGGTCTGATGGGCTTCCAAGCTCAGTATTCCCACCCCAAAGGGCTACCCATTGTGCCACTTACCTGATTCCTCTTGGCCTCCCACCCACCCTTCTGTGCTATCCCACAGGGACTAGAAGCTGGAAGGCTGTATTTCCCAGACTCCCTTACCAGTTAGGTTCTACCAGTAATCTGGTGGGAGAGTAGAAAGAGAAGCATTTTGGTCCTCATGGACAGTGGCAGGCTCTGGGGCTGTGGCAGTTGCTGTAATAGCCACGGAGATAGGGTGTGGTCTGGACTTCAGCAGCCAGGACAGAGCATGGCATATTTTGTGCATCCAGAACTACCTGTGATGATGTCTCCAACAGCACACAGCAGGCTGGCTTACAGGTTCAGCCCAGGCCTGGCAGGGGCTTCTCATTTCTGGGTATCATTCCTTCCTCCTTTTTTGCTCCTCTAGTTCATCCAACACTGGTGTTACCGAATCCCTGCATGAAATTCCCTGTCTGAAACACTCCAAGTGATTTCTGTTTTCCTGACTGGATGAGACCATTACAGGAGTGGGCAGATAACTCGGAATAACAAGAGCCCTAGGACACTTTGAACTTGAGCCCATAAGGAAAGCTCTCTTTTGTTCTGCTCTGCTTTTGAGCCTCTTCAGATGGAAGGTTGGAGCGTACAGGGCCAGCCCTGCCTCAGGAAAGATGCTGGCCAGGGAGAATAAAGCCAATATGCAGGGAAAGGTAGGGACCAGAAATGAAGTCAGGCAATCTTGATGGTGTTTGAAGTCCTGGTTCTATCTAGAGCTTGTTCTTTCTGGGTTTGGCAATAAAAGCCAATACATTCCCTTTCTGCTTATGCAAGTTTGAGTTGAGTTTCTAGCACTTGCAGCAGAATGAAGCCTGATGAACAGAGCAGAACTTGCCAGCTGGGACTGAGGTGGCATGAGCCAGCTGTCTGTAGCGAAGCGAGGCCTGGTGGAAGAGGGTGAGAGCTGTCTGATTGCCGCCCTTCAGCCACCTTGGTCTTCACACCTACCTTCTCCTGCTTCACTGTGGGGTCCAGCACGAGGGTCCCATCAGAGTCCAGGGCACAGGTGACCCCGCAGAAGAGAGCCTGCATGGGCACACCTGCATCCACCAGTGCCATGCAGGCAGCATTCAGGCAACAAGCCAGGAGCTGAACACCACAGGGTGTGGTTAAGAAGTTTCTACAGTATGGCTGGCTAGCAAAACACATCCATGCCTCCTTTTGCCCTGCTGATGCCTGTGGCAGACATCACTCATTAGTCACAGAAAGGTGGTCTGGCTGAGTGAGTAAAAGTGGCTCTGGGGTCAAGTAACCCTGGGTTCCAGACCTGGCTGTGCCATCTCTCAGCTGTGTGAACTTGAGCAAGTGACTTAACTCCCTGAATTTCAACCTCCTCATCTGTTACCTGGGGATCATAATACAACTCAACAGATAGGTGCTGATATACTGAGAACCTTCAGGGAGACAGGATTGGGGGGGAGTCACATGGGGGAGGCAGTGGCAGAGCCAGGCTCAAACTTGGCAATCTAGCAGGCAGCCATTGTTGCTTCTGCCATCAGGGAGCTCACAGTCAAGGGTGCTGAGCGGCTGTGGCGCAGTGGGAGGAGAGCACAGGCTGGGAGTCAGCTGGCCCTGCTTCAGTTTCCTCATGTCTAGGTCTAGCAGGGCAGACAAGGGCCCCAGCTTTACAATCCACTACTTCCAGCTCTGCTGTTGACCATCTGTCATTTCCTTTGAGCTTCTGTTTCCATCTTTCTAAAATGGGGTCACAATAGCTCTTCTCTCTACCCATTTGCAAAGTGCCTGCCCAATGCAGGGGCATGTACCAATGGAGCCCTCTTGAAATGCCCAATTCTGGTCCTCACCCTCAACCTTGCTCACCTAAAAGGCCAAGCTTCTGACTTGGCTGCTGTGCCTGCCAAGTTCTGGAAGGCTGAAATCCATGCTAAGGTGCAGGGTCGAGGTGACCGGCACAGGCTGTGGAGTCAGACGGGCCTGGGCTTGAGTCCTGCCTCTGCTGCCTTCCAGCTGTGTGACCCTGGGCAAGCCATTTTCCCTGTCTGAGTCTCCGTATCCTCACCTGATGCATGCGAACACAAGAACACTCATCTGCCAGGGCCCCTGGGCTCTAAAACTAGGTGGTTTGGGCCCAAGTCTCGACTCTGACACTTACATGGGTACAGAGTAAGCACTTGAGCTATGTTTGCTATGCTTCTTCAGTGAGCTGGTACCTGGCAAGTGTTAGGTTGTTTCTGGCTAGCAGAGGGGATATACACAGTCACCAGCAGGAAGACAATCAGGGGGCTTCCTGGAAGAGGCCTGGGGAAAAGGATACAGAACCGGCATCGCTGACAACCTGTAGCACCACAGTGATGGAGGTGCGGGGGTGCAGCACTCCCAGCACCACTGCCTCGCACGTGTTCCTGATCAGCCGCTCCCGGCTCTTCTCTGCAACGCCTGGGGAAACCGAGGAGAGGCTGTCAGGCTCTTCCCTTCCATCTGGCTCACTTCCGCCACATGCCCCACCCCAGCCCTCTGGAAAGGGCCTGTGGTCTCAGCCCAGGATGGTGTAGGAACCTGTGTGGATGACAGAGGAGTCCCGCTGGGAGGGAGACAGGGCCTGACTGTTGTCCTCCACACCCCTGCCACCTCCAGCATCTGCCAAGTGGACCCTCTGGGGGAGGAGAACCTGGCAGTTGCCATATCTATGCTGCTGCCCACGCCCACTCCCACCCAGTAGGCCCAGTCAGTGGGGAATGGGGGAGACAAAGGGTAAAAGGGTGGAAAAACAGGTTAGTGGAAAGAAAAGGAGACGGAGGCAGGGAAGACAGAACAGAGGGAGGGAGAGGGGGGAAGGAAGAGACTGGTGGCAGAGAGAGAAAAGTGGCAGGAACTGAGACCAAGGCAGAGAGTTACAGAAAGACAGACATAGCTAAGGGGAGGGGAGAGTGGAGACTGGGGACAGCAGGTTGGGAGGAGCTGAGTAGAGGTCCCGACAGACGGGGCATTCGGAGGCTCAGCAGGGCCAGTTACCAGGCAGCCCAATCTTCGGCCTCAGGATCACTTCAAGCGTGGCCTTGTTGAAGATCTCTTTGCTGACCTTTACCTCAGCTGGCCCGTATACACCTGCCAGGACGGAGGTATCACCTGGGGAGACAGCAGGGCAGACCTCACCCTTCCTTGCCCCAGAGGCCCAATGCGCAGCAGAGCCTGATGGCCAGGGCTCCCCGTGTCACCCCTGCCATTTGTTGGCAGTGACTCTGAGCACTCATTTCACTTCTCTGCCCGCACTTTGTCATGTGCAAAACGAGAATAACAGTACCTCCCTCGCAGTGTACTGTGAGGACTGAAGGACACAATTCACATAAAACATTCAGAGCACTGCCTGGTGAATGCTGAGCATGCAACAGACTAGCTGATATTAGTAACTTTTAACTGGAAGTTCTTCCTGAGAGCTAAACTTTCTCCCTACTGCTGTAGCTGGCCTTGATTTCTCTTTTCAAAACTTCCCCCAGTCTGGTTCTCTTCCTTCAGGCACTCATCCCCATATTCTGCAGCAGATCAGGTACCTGAGAAAGGGATAAATATCTGGGGTGGGCCAGGTGCGATGGCTCAAGCCTGTAATCCCAGCACTTTGGGGGGCCGAGGTGAGGGAATTGTCTGAGCCCACGGGTTTGGGACCCGCCTGGGCAACTTGGCAAGACCTCATCTCTACAATAAATCAAAACATTAGCCGGGCATGGTAGCACGCGCCTGTAGTTTTGGCTGCGTGGAAGTCTGAGGCAGAAGGATTGCCTGAGCCCAGCAGGTTGACGCTGGGGTAGCCATGAGCTTGCCACTGCACTCCAGCCTGGGCGACGGAGTAAGACACCAACTCAAAAAAAAAAAAAAAAAAAATCTGGGGTGAATCCGGACTCCTGTTTATTTCCCCAGAGTGAATATAAGTGGGAGACAGGAGGTAAGACCTAAGAAATTAAAAGCCTATCTTCTAATCCTGCCTGCCTCCTTCTGGGTGATATAACATTGGGTGATTTTGCTCACCTCTCTGGGCCTCAATTTTACCATCTGCAAAATGAAGAGATTGGATTAGATCATAATTTCCAACAAGAAACACATTTTACAGTGTGACCCAAAAGACTCATAAATATGTGTATATAAATGGAACAAAGGCTACAACAAAACAGGTAATGGTCACTGCTTTGATGTACTCTGATATTTTATAATAGGTTCCATTTAAAAAGTGGTGGGGTGTGGTGTCTCATGCCTGTAATCCCAGCACTTTGGGAGGCCAAAGTAGGAGGATCGCTTGAGCCCAGGAGACAGAGACCAGCCTGGGCAACATAGCAAGACCGTGCCAGGTGTGGTGGCATATAGCTGTGGTCCTAGCTATTTGGGAGGCTGAGGCAAGAGGATCACCTGAACCCAGGAGGTCAAAGCTGCAGTGAGCCGTGATTGTGTCACTGCACTCCAGCCTGGGCAACAGAGTGAGGCCCTGACTTAAAAAAAAAAATGCTGGTCCCTACTCACACAGTGGCTCTCACCCTGACTGCACACTGGAGAGTCTTAAAAGATACCGATGCCCAGTTCCTTCTCCCAGAACTTCTAATTTAACTGCCCAGGGCTGAGGCGCAGGCACTGAGAGTGTCCAAGCTTCCCAGGTGATTCTAATGTGCCATTTGCAGTGTCAGAAAATAGTGCCCCGGGACAGCTTTGACCTGCAATTAGAATCACCACAAGAGCTGGGCTTGAGGGCTCGGCCTGTAATCCTGTGCTTTGGGAGGCTGAGGTGAGTGGATTGCCTGAGCTCACGGGTTCGAGACCCGCCTCAGCAAGTTGGCGAGCCCTCGTCTCCACAATAAATCAAAAA